TTTTTTTCGAATGGTTTGTTTCTCTGATGAATACACCTCCATCTCCAGTCGGCAATTGCTGTGAGCTTCTCTCCGTGACCGGAAAAGGTAAACACCTAAACCCTCATCTACCTTAACATTCTAATTTCTACATGTGTTGGCCTAGTTTAACATTATTGTTGATATTAATATTTGGGCATCTGTCCGTGTTCAAGCAGGCTGCGACGAGCACGAGCAGTGTAGGAAGGAAGCCAAATTACTTCTCGAGTTTCCTCGAGGCTGCAAGGTAATGTCCTCTAAACTGAATATTGTAATTTCCCCGACATCAAAGTGTTGAAAATTAAGCTTATAAATTGTACCTGTATGTTGTTCAAAGTAGTGTTCAATTTTATGCGTGGTCGTGAATAAATCTTTTTGTGAAGACTGAGATTTATTTGGAGGGGACCGGGTACAGTGTTGTGTCATGTTATCATCTTTGGAATGCTTAGCTTTTACTCATATGCTATGGCTGTGTGTATGCTACTGTCTGTGTGTGAAGAAGAGTGGGTTGTGCTGAGCCCGATGCATTTTTTGATGCAGAGTTATGATTTGGTTAACATGCTGTTGAAAGTGTTAGTTCCATATTGTTAATTCAGGAGTTATGATGTGGTTAACATGCTGTTGATAGTGTTAGTTCCATATTGTTAATACAGACTCTTGGACTGCTCTTTTTTAAGTGTTGAATTCTCACTTCAGGAGTTTATGAGTCATGTTTCATGCCTTAGAGGTTGTTCAAATGTTCAGTAGTTAGGCTTTAAAGAGAAGAGGAGCATGACTGAAGTATTAATTGCCTTGTTTTGGATAAATTGCAGAAGGTGTGCTCATTTTAGTGTGTCTATTGTTCCATTATGTCTCTGTCATAAATGTAACATTTGCCTTACCTGTTTTGATGCAGTCATGGATGATGACTTATGAATAGGTTAACATGTTGTCCAAACTTGTAATTTAAAATTGAAGATGACCATTTATCAAAGTTGTTGTTTAAAGTGTAGGAGAACAAATGAGATTCATGAAATGGGCCTTCTTTGATGCTTTATTGGATGCTGAATTATGAATAGAGAAACATGCTGTTGAAAGTGTTAGTTTGATATTGTTGAAAGTGTTAGTTTGATAGGTTATGATCACAGAAACATGCTGAAGTGGTTTTATTCCTTGTTTTGGACAAATTGCTGAAGGGTGTGCTCATTTTAGTGTGTCCATTGTTCCTTTATGTCTCTGTCATAAAATGTATCATTTGCCTTACTTGTTTTGATGTTGCGATTTCACATATATGTTGTGGTTGTGTATGCGACTGTGGTTCTGTTAAACAGAGTACAGGCTTTAAGTGCCATGTGTATGTCTATAGACATTGAAATTATAATCTTATTAAGTTTCATGTGTTGATTACGATTCTTTAGGAAAAGTAATTCATACAATTGTGCTTCTTTTTGTTGTTTAGTATGTTCACCAACAATGAATGGGTGAAGTCTGTATGTTTTTCAATCTTTGTAGATGGATAACTTGCGAGACAAATTACTAATTCTCACTCTTTTGGAAGAGATTGTTCTTGGTGCTCAGTTTTTTTTTTCACAGTGGCTAATTACTACTACTACAAATTCATACTCCCTCGCCGCCGTCGACGTTCGTTGACTAGCAGACTCATATACCGATTGAGGGATAGAGTGCCCCTTCAAGTGAGTCACATGCAAAGGCTAGTGGACACCAGCGACATCACTTGTTTTGAGAACCTCCGTATGGACAGAAACTGTTTTGGTCGCCTTTGTTTCCTCCTTGAAAACAAAGGGGGTCTTGTTCAATCTAGAAACGTTGCACCGAGTGAACAAGTTGCTATGTTTCTTTCAATCCTTGCACATCACAAGAAAAACGTGACGTTGAAGTTTGATTTTACGAGATCGGGTAGAACTGTAAACAAGTACTTTAACCATGTACTTGATGCGGTAATCCGTTGGCCACACCTACGCCAATTGAGGATGATTGTTCAGATGAAAGGTGGAAATGGTTCAAGGTAGCCTAGCTCACAAGACCCTTAACAATACTTTAGTCAATCTTGTCTTCCCCACTTCTTTCAAACTAATACTTTTTAATTTTTTCTTTTTGTTCGTTAGGGGTGTCTAGGAGCACTAGATGGTACATACATTAACGTTCGAGTCCCGTCAAAAGATAAGGGAAGATATAGGAATCGAAAGGGTCAAGTAGCAGTTAATGTACTTGGGGTGTGCGATAGAAACATGAACTTCATATACATGCTTTGTGGCTGGGAGGGGCTGCTGCGGATAGTCGAGTACCTAGAGATGCAATAACTAGGGCAAATTCTCTCCGAGTCCCAAACGGTATTCCCCTGACTTATAACCATTACATATGTAAAATAGCACCCGTCCGAAAAAACATTAAATCAAACATAACACAATCGTTTAAAACGCAGGAAACTATTATTTGGTGGACGGTGGTTACACTAATGGTCCTGGCTTTCTAGCACCATATAGGGGTGTGAGATATCACTTAGATGAATGGGGTGCGCGCTTATTCACAATTTTATACGTAACACGATGCCCGAAGACCCCATAGAGAATGAGATTCCAGAATTCCCTGTACCTTCCAACCCAACGTGTGACGACGACTATATAGATCAAGTGGAAGGCAGCCAGGAATGGACACAGAAGCGCGACCTCTTAGCCCAACAAATGTTCACAGATTGGCAGGGCGGTGTACCCTAATGGATAAACAAACATAATTTTTGTGTACACAATGTGTACTTTCATAAGAATCTTCTCAAACAAAGTAATTGTGATAAATGTTCTTATCGGCAATGTTTATTTTTTATTTTTTGTTTAAGTCAGGTTGTTGGAAATGTTGTTATGTTGATTATCGGCATTCAATATTTTTGTGTTTGTGGTTTTCCTATATATATCTTTCTTGGCATTATATCATCATTTTGTTTAACGTCATTTTTCATATACTGGAAATTCTGTATTATCCAAAAAAATATATATAAAAAAAAAAATTGCTACAAAACTGTTGTCGCCACAGGATATTTGTCATGGAACCGTCAGCTACATCGGATACCGGGAAAGAGGGCGGCTCCACCTCAAAACGCCGTGTTTGGACAAGGGCAGAAGAGCGTGCCCTAATTAATGCTCTGAAGGAGATTGTAGTCGAGGGTTGGAAGACATAAAATGGCTCCAGAACAGGATATGCATTTGTTTTGGAAAAGAAAATGAAGAAGTTTCTTCCAGGATGTGAAATTCGTGCGGAGCCGCACATATCCTCGAAAATGCATGTCTGGAAGAAAACTTATGCGAGTCTGGCCCTTTTAAAATCAAACAACTCCGGAATGGGTTGGGATGATATTACAAAAAGCTTCTTTTGTGAAGATGAGAAGTGAGCTTCCTGGCTTAAAGTTTGTTTGTTCTTAAAATTCCAACATTGACTCGTCTATATATTTCACGTAATTTACATATCCTCATCACATTTTTTGCTCCCCAAAACATGGCCAATAGGTGGATCCTAATGCAAAGGGTTTGAGAAACAAGTCTTTCCCCCACCTAGATGACTGGTCTAAAATCTTCGGGAAAGACAGAGCCTCTGGCGCCGATGCCCAGTCTTTCGGAGACGCGGCTCAAGATGTCCAACAGGACCCACTTTATGAAGCAGACAATGACATCCCATTGCAGCACACGCAGCGCACAGCAGGTGATGGTAGCCCGGGCAATGACGTCGGTCAGTCGTCGGGTGCGGCGTCTGAAAGTACCTCCAGGAGAGGGGGAAGGACGAAGGGCACAAAAAGGAGGTCCACTAACTTGATGGACGAACGTTTCATCGATGTTATGGAGACCTTCTGGCAGAACACGGATAGTCGGTTGGCTGAAATTGCTGCAAGAATGGCCAACGAGCAAGCGGCACAGGCTCAGGCGATCGAAGTAAATGATGCGCTTCGTACTTTCCACTTTCTATCCGGTGAGGAGCGAATGGCTATCTGTCTGCGTTTGTGCAACAATGCCAGAGAGCTTGCTATGTTCATGGGCATGGGGCAAGACGATAGGGCGCTCATGGTTAGGGTCATGCGTGATGCGCGGGGTTAGTGTTTGTAATGGAAAAATGTTTTGTTTCTTGAGCTTGTGGTAACGGTATTATGTTGTGGGAACTGTATGAACTTTTATTGTGTGATTTTGTGGTTTTGTGGTGAACATGTTTTGGATTGAGGATGATTGTGCACAGAACTATGTATTGTGTGTTGGGTTGAAATACTATTTATTTTGTTTCATGAGATGCTGAAAATTCCAATTTGTGTGTATAATGGTCGACTTTTTTTGCATGGAATGGTCTTACATTGGTTATCCTTATTCGTGAAATGGTTTATTATTGTTGTTATAATATGTTATAATCGCTCGTTGCAGGTTCACCATGTCTTTCTATAGGGATGATCCGCCATGGGGGTGTTTCTATAAACTTATGGACATGCCAAACGAACCCACACTGGTAAGTTCAAAATTCTCATTTCGAGCATTGAAGCAACATTGAAGCACATTAGTATTCAAGTAAAAAATTATACTTGGTCTGGGAACGGTCTTATGTGGTAGATTTTAAGTTTCAATAAACATCAAAAACAAAGGGAACAAAAAAAATAGAAAGATATACAAATAATCAAATTTTGGTGTCCAAATTTTTAATGTTTACAGTTTAAAGTTCTTTATTAAATGCCACATTAGTGTTAAGGGTGGTTTTTTTGTGTGTTGACACTTTCACTTTCTTAGGACATAGACGTTGCAGCACCTTATTTTGGGCGACACGCGATGCCTTTTCCCGTTACTCTGATAACGGTTGAGGGCCGTCGCTACCCAATGGACATAATAAGGGTTCCGTCTGGGCTGGATTACGACCCAAGGACTTTTCTGTGTTTTGCCAATGGGTGGCAGTATTATGTTCAATCAGAGGATATACACAACGACTACTACCTCTATTTTGAACGAGATAATTTCAGAACATTCAATGTCAAGGTCTACACGGCTAACAATATTGAGAGGCCTCCGCAGCACCGGTTTACCATACAAATAAAAAAAACTCATGTCGAGCGTGCACTGTTGGTAAGTGATTGCTTGGTTCTTTTAACATCATATTTTTCGTCTACATTGTTCTTGCATATTTAATAAAATGTTATCATATTTAATATTTTTTTCCCTATCGTGAAGCCAATACCAATGCAATTTTGGAACGCACACATTGAAGGACAGGTTCCAGAGATAGACATTGCAGTGCTTATGTTGAAGGGGGAAACATATTCGATGTCTATAGACCAATCTCACGGTAAGAGGCGCCATAAAGATGGCGATATGCGCCAATTATTTGGACAAAATGGCATTGTGGAGGACTCGGAGTGGGTATTTACATTGATTCCGTTTAGGTATCCCCGGTTTAGAGTGGTCGAAATTCGTGTGTAGCATGTATGTGAACGACGAATTATTTAAAACTTTTTTGCGATGCTTGTTGGTCTTTGATGTCACATTATTTTCCGACATTGTGTGTTAAACGTTTTTTGTGTTCATGAAGACAATTTTTATGCTTTCTCTCATGTTGTGATTGAAACATTACGGGTATGTAAGAATTGTGTGTTAACAGTTTTGTAGGTTTATTGTGACAATTTATATGGTTTCTATCATATTGTGAATGAAACATTACGGGTACAGCCAGTGACGGATCTAGGAATTTAATTCAATTTTAAATGTTATAACGAGCTTGTAGTTTACATCGAAACGTTCATTTCATATAAAAATGATTTACTATAAATATAAATATCGATATGTGTACCATCAACTTTTTCAAAACTTAGAATTCGTATCACCCTCAAACTTTTAAAAAAATAAACCAAAAAAAAATATGAGATTTCATGTATTAATAACTTAAGTTCAACATCTATAAAAAGTAAGTTTTTTTATTGAAATTTTGTTTTAAATTGAACTTTTTCAGCACATTACATATCAAATTAACATTTTTCCAAGAAGAAAATAAATAAATTTAAAAATATATGATTACACAAAAAAAAGTAAAAAAAATCAACATTAGAAAATGTTACAGTCCAACTAATACTGAGTTTTATAAATTACTAAATCGATTTACAATTAAAAGGCTGAATAAATCATTATAAATATTTTTAAAAATTTATCTAGAAATATAAAATATAAGGCTTGTTAGTACATTTTTTCATAAATAAATAATATTATTAATTTAAATTAAAACAACATAGAACATAAGTTTTAATTATTAATATTTTGTAAAAAAAATTTACATTTCTATACATACTTTATAGTATTTTTTATGCATACATACATATATATTAATACTTTTTTTAGTATTTTTTAATATCTACACACACACACACACACACACATATATATATATATAACTAGTCCTGGTGTGAGAACCGTGAGAACCGTTTTTTATGCTATTTTTAATTGTGTATGATGTTTTTTTTTCATATTAGATGATGATATCATCTTTACAAGTGCTACCAAAAAATGTGTTGCTATTTTTAATAAAATTCATTTTGATTAAAAATAGCATCAAACACAATCAATCATTGCACTATGTCCAAATAAAAATAGCGGTTCTCACGGTTCTCACACTAAGACTTGGTTCTCATTTGAACCATATTATATATATATATATAATATATATATATATATTATTGATTTTTTAAAAAAAACCAGGGGGTCCATGGCCCCCCCTGGACCCTTTACAGATCCGTCATTGGGTACAGCACCGCAACAGGGGAACAAACCACCAAACATAACTAACATTACAAACATTTTTTAACACACAGGGACAAAGCACGGGTACATCTTGTCAACGGAACGACTACATAACAAACAATCAGGAACATGCAGTAACATACGGGTACCACACCGAAACAAATAACACACATATAAAGAACCATTAAACAAACAACCAAACACAAATAACATACTGATACACCACTGAAACAAGAACAAACATAGAAGGGAAAGATATAGTGACGAAGCTAATTCCACGGCCAATCATGCGTGTAGTCCATAGGCGTGGTGGAACAGGCAGTAGATACAGAATTTTATTCCGGTTCATGTGCACTGTGAGAGGAGATGTCGTTTCTGGGCTGATTCACAGAGTCATCAGTTGAACCGTTTTGACTGTGTATGGATTGTTTCTTTTTTGGGCCCTTTGAACTGCTACCCATATAAAAGGCCGGACGAGGTGGTTGTTTCTTAGCTCTAACAGGGTGGGGAACTAACCTACTCGGTGGCAGACGGTTTGGATGGTACTCCTCCACATCGATAACTTCAACACCTTTGCCACGGCTCTTACTGCCCTTCTTCTTGCCTTCGTCGTCGCTGTCAGAAATGATACACCACTGCAAAGGATTTACGTATGGTGGCTCCTCGTAAAACAACTCCACAAGTTTGTTATAATGTGGATCACCTTCCGTCATGTACGCCAGGAAAAAGTCATTCCATTACGGGGAAAAATAAAATATAAATTAGATTGCAACTCTAATGTTAAATACCACAAATGAAAACGCATTCTGCGCATGCATTGAAATATAATATGATTTTAAAAGAAAAAAAAAAAGAAAGAAAAAAGGCAACGCTGGGGCATTCAATCCATTGAACGAATAAGTGGGGTCCTCTTTTAATGAATGAGCTACATCCGGATGAACGTTGGAGGTGTTTAAATGGAAAATAAAATGAATGCGATGCAGATGCTCTTATATTGCTAGCCCGTTTAAATTACCAGGTTCTATAGCCTTTAATTTATAGGGTCATTATTTTTTGACTTGTTTTATTGTAATGGTGGCTATGTAAATGAGATTCTCACTCAATTTAATGATAAATGATGTTCCCAGTTTTGCTCGTGGTTTTATTTTTGTCACCAAAGTCGCTTGCTTTGCATTTTATTACTAGAAAATTTGCGCAAAAGACAAAAACCTGGAAAAGATCTATGGTCAAGTAGGGGTACATAATTATTACAGCTTCACTTATGTACAAAAATATTATATTTTATAATATCACTTGAATAAAAATTATTACTTATTTACTTAGGTTACTATTATATTTTATAATATCACTTGAATAAAAATTATTACTTTTTTATTTAGGTTTGGATTGCTATGTATATATATATATATACATACACACACATATTTAATGTATTTAAAATATTTTATATAAATCTATTTATTATTTTCTTTTTATAATGTGCATATTATTTTACTTTCTAAATTTTGTGCGTTGTTCATATTCTTTTATGTGTTTCAATTAAAAATCTACATATATACATATATATATATATAGGGTTGGATTCACATGAGAATGATACTTAATGAAAGAAATAAGAATACATCGTATCCATTGGATCACATGATCCAACGGCTTATTAAAAAGCAAAAAATATACCTTCATTAAGGATATGACAGTAATTTTTCACACTACACCCAACAAGTGGGCCCTACTTCACATTAATTTATTACCCACCTAACCCCATTCACCAACCCTAATTATACCAGTGGGCCCCACCCAAATCACTCCCACCACATATCTCTCTCTTTCTTCCTCACGATGTCTGCCTCTCTCCCTCGCGATATATCTCTCTCCCTCAGCAAACAATCGCGTCACTAGAAGGCATCTCCGACCGCCGGCGTAATTTCCAGTGATCCCGACGTCGCAATCCGGCTACCGACACGCACAACCGACACCGACAAAAAGCAGCACCTGTCTAGCCGCCACCTCCGGAAGCTCACAGATCGCCCGTCCGTGGTCGCACAACCGCTCGCCGCAGCTTTTGACGGCGCTGCCGTCAATGTCTTGCAGCCTCTTCTCCACCTACGACGAAAGCAACACCATCCGTCGATATCCATGGTCAATCTAGGAACACGCGGCGACGACATGGTGGTCGGACATGAAAGCTCCGGTAGCTCCTGCACGGCCATGGCGGACACTGTTTTCCACCGGGGTTGTGGCGGTCAGAACGGTGGCGCAAAATTGAGGCTCCGGTTGGAAAAAATACAGCGATTTAAAATCTGAAATTGGATTGTGGATTGGGCCTTTTGTTGATAATTAGATTAAGCATTGGTACCTATTTGCAATTTTAACAATTTAATTATATCTCAATTTAACCCTATGGGTCAAATCTGTACATATTGAAAATTAATAAAAAAAATATTTTTTTATACATTTTGCTATGCATATATATTAAATAAAAATAAATTATTAAATAAAAATAATATGAATATTAAAATAATTTATAATAATAAATAAATTATATAATAAAAATAATAAATGAAAATATATGTCAATTATTTAGATTAATTAGATGTAAAATTATATCTATTAAAACTAATTTTCGAATACATATGAGAAAGTATAAATTAGTGCACTTTATATAATGGAATATTGCACTTTATAAAATAATACGTCGAACTTTATAAAACAATAAATTAGTGCACTTTATATAACGGAATATTGCACTTTATAAAACAATTCGTCGAACTTTATAAAACAACATGTTGCACTTTATAACCACACTTCACAATTAATTAATGTCAACAACTCCCGCCAAAATATTACGCAATATAAATATAAAAAACGGAGTGACATAATACTTTACTATTCATCACATCATATATCCACACACAAAAAAAAAAATAATAATAAAAAAAATCCTGTTAGAATACCTTTCAGTATTGCACTTTATATATCAATACATTGCACTTTATGCACAAATACATTGCACCTTATAACACAACGCGTTACATGTACTAAAATTACAGTAATTTGTAATGATCGATCAAATAATATTAGTTGGTTGGTCTATGGCCAAATCTATAATTTAAAAGAACGTATAAAAAATATTACTTTTTATATAATTATACATTTATATTAAACTGACTAATAAATATATTGAATAAATAATAATACAAAATATTAAAATAAAAAAATAAAATTTTATAATATAAATAATAAATTATTTCAAATTATTTATGTCAATTTAGTTAACCAATCAATTAAAATTATTATTTCGGTTCAGTTTAAAAATGAATTTGCACATAAAAAAAACTTTCACTAAATATTGCGCCTCAGTGAATATTAGGATGCACAATAGTGTGATAACGAATGCACGTTATTGAGCTTGATAGCGCACATTAATATAACAGTGTGCATCTTCGATTTTATTTACAAAGAAAAAAAAAATAACATAACTGATTGAATCATATAAAAAATATAATTTGTATATTATACCTGATGTTTCGTATATTATGGCATTTCAACAAAAAATAATATTAAAATAAATAAATAAAAATATTAAAATACTAAATATATTTGTATAATATAAAATGATAATATATTTTGATTATTTAAGGTAATTCAGCTAGCCGATCAAATAAATCAAGTAATTCGGTTCGGTTTCAATTTAATCAGGGCAAAAAATTTGGTCAGTTCACAGTACACAACAGTAGCCGAAAATCATGCATGACGATGTTAGAAAAATTGCACTTTAATGTCCGTTAGATTGCACAATAACGAACGTATCAGAACAGTCTAAAAAAAATCGGTTGGAGACTTTGTATATCAATTCGATTTGTTTTTACAGTTAAATCTTCGATTATTTTGGTTCAAAGCCGACTTTATTTTTTAGTTTAATTTTTTTTTTCTTTTTTTGCAAACAATAGGAATCTCATTAAAAAAACAAACAAAGTTTGAATTACTATACACATAAGATGGGAATGGAGGACAAAACACATTTGGCCTAAATCCTGGATAACCCGAAACCTGCAGACAACCTGCCACAGAAATCACTAAACACAAACTACCTTCTAAAATGAAACAAGCAGAAAACTAAAACAACATAAACAAAGCAAAATAGGACCAACTAACACAAATCACTAAACACTAAGTACCACCTAAAAGGAAATCCAAAGCAGAAAACTAAAACCACAGAAACAAAGCAAAGTAGGACCAACTAACACTGCACAGGAACAAAGCAGAGAGTCAAAATCATTGAGAAGCCCCATAGATTAAATTACAATATAGTTAAATTATCTTAATGTGCAAATAAGTCCTTGGTACTTATCCAATTCACAAAAGAAAGCCCTCATCCCTTCAACAAATCATCTACATTCACCCGCCTGTCTCCGCCGGCGATTCTCACGCACGCGAGCATGGTGACGTGCTTCTGACCACCGGGTTGAGCCCGTCGGCGGCGGTAGACTGAACCTGACGCCTTGATAATGGTGGAAACTAACAATTAGGTCAATATGGTATTTAGGGATTTTGTCAACTCGACTCCATGGCCGACGAGATGATACGGAGCTTGGGGTCAACGACGACGGTGTATCAGCCGCTGACGCCGGTAACGTCAGCCGTGGCCCGCGGTAGGTATTCTAGGGTGTGATTGTTTATGGTTTCGATCTAGTTTTTATTTGGTTTGTTTTTAACTATAGTTAATTTTGAAAAAAAGAGGTATGATTAGTTGTTAGTGGATATATTAAAATAATATTTAAATAAAATAATAAAAATTGATTTGATGTAAAGTAGAAAAAAAATGATTGAAAGTGATGGTTAGTTAAAATTATGTGAGTGGATGAATAGTGAATTAAAGTTGATTTGCTGTGTAAGAATGATTGGTTGATATTATTTAATTATATTGGTAATATTGAAGATAGTGGGATTGAGTTAAAATTGAGTTAAACTTGAGTTTTGATTAGATTTTTTACTATTCAATTTATATCCAATCGCCCCCCTAGTCGCTGGAGAAGATAAGCCATCAGCGGCAAAAACGAGATAAATTGAGCGAGAGAGAGAGAGACACACACACGGTGATAGTGCAAGAGAGAAATGTTGACGCCGGAGACGGTGTCGATTGCGGCGAGGTGATGGTGGCGACAGTTTGGTTGTCGGCGGAGGCACATCCGGTGGTGGTGTGTTGACCGGGTGGGTGTGTGTTTTTGTGTGCATGAACTGTGTGTTATGGTGTGAGAAAGAGAAAACGCTGATGGGGAGATGGTGGGAGTGGTGGGGTCCACTAGTTAGTAGATGGGTGAGAAATGACCAATCTGTCCTCACTAAGTGATCAAATGCAAAAATTTGACCATGATATGTATACTTAATTACAAAATCGCCATTGTCTGTTGACTGCCATATTTAATATTTGACTTGATCATGGTCATTGATATGTTGGATCTAATGATCTAAAATCATTCTCATTTCTCGCATTAAGAGTCATTCTCATATGATCCTTTCTCTCTCTCTCTCTCTCTATATATATATATATGTATATATATATATATATATATATATATAAAGATTTGATTATTTTTTAAATAGTAACTATTTACCTTAAAAAATCTATTTACTAGTTTGGAAAATTAATTTAACAACTTATGGTATTTTTCAAATAATCATTTATGAAAATTGTGATTCATTATTTAAGGAAATAATTAAATCATAATACACATTGGTTACGGTAAGAATTATTAAAATCCAGAATTATATTATGAACTATTAAAATCTGAGATTTTAAGCAACACATTGATTATATTCGTGACTATCTAATTAATTAGATTAACGCTTATTTAAGGATAGGATCCATTTAACATGTTATTGATATAGTTGAAAAGGTTTGGAAATTATTTGTTGACAAAAATAAATAAAATCAAAAAAATCAAATTTATCTGATTTACTAAAATCTATTTGTGTGCTACAATCACTAGGAATTATTAAAATCGGAGACAACAGATATAGTACATTCGTGATTATTCACATAGATTTTAAATATATAATAACATTCTACCAAAATAATTAGTTAATGGAACCACATTGTATTCAAGTAGAATTTTAAAATAAATATTTTAAAATGACACTTGTTTTGAAATAAATATAATGAAATTTATTATCAGTCATGTGTACCGTACGGGTTGTATACTAATTTTAAATAGACATGTTTTATGCAATTTTTCACAATTTAAATTTCCTATAACATTTTAAATAAATTAATATAGGTAAATTGTATTACATATTTGTTCCATATTTTAATTTATAGATATTATTTAATGATCATTTAATTTACAAATATTAATCAATATCTCTTACTCGTGCATCGCACGGGATTCGTACTAGTATTATAAATAAACCTAATGATTAGTTTTCAGAATGTAAAATAATATTTTTGATTCACTTAGTTGTTTATTATATATTATTATATATTGGTCGTTATTTATTTTTTCCAACTTAAACAAAATAAATACATTTTTTCTTTCATTTTTTGTTATACATTTAATTATTTTATCAATTACACCCGTGTAGTACACATGTATTGTACTAATGTGTGTGTGTGTGTGTGTGTGTATATATATATATATATAAAGAGAATAGTTGTCGTGAAAGAAATAAGAATGCATCATAACCATAAGATCTCATAATACAATGTAAAAAAGAAAAAACCTAAATTTCTGTCTCTCACACGGTTTGTCAAATCCCTGACAGACTGCCAAGTAGCAGCCATGCTAAAAGGGCTAAGCCGCAGGCTTCTCCCGCTCCTTCAACGTCTACATTTTCTCCGTGTGCAGATGTGGCCAAGCTCCAATGCGTCACCAAGGAGCTGCGCGACTGAAGACGGGGCTTCTGATGCACAAGATGATCAAAGAGATAGTGATCATCTTGATGCTATTGGAGTCCGTTGTGGTAATTTGTAATTTTAGAAATTTTCATATATTGTAATGTATCCCTTGTGAGATTTATTAAAAGTTTTATAACTGCACAATAACGAAAAGATGAAAAGTAAAATGGACAATATTATATATGAATATGTACATTAAAAAAGCCTTCGTACTTTTACGAAATTAAAAAATTGTCATCGCTTTCATATATAATAGTTCATTGATTAACCAAAATGTCACCACGCTACATAATGCACAATAGTGTGAGATGAAATGCACATTATGTACATTAGTGTAACAGGGTACTCTGCAAAATGACAAAATTGCCACTGCGTGAACAATAGTTAGTACTAATAATTGCAAGAAATCACTCTTTTACCAGTGCTAGAGAGTTGACCGAACCTAAAGCTTTTATATATCACATATAATATATTTGATCCATTATCTCTCATTCTTATTTGATCCTACTTCTATGGGCATGTCACTTAATATTATTGTGCATTTATCAAACTTTTAATACATTTCATATTTACCCAAGACCTAAATTACAATATGCTAAAGTTTCTAAATTTGAAGATAAGTCACTAAGATTTATAAAACTTTGAAGTAAAAAAAAAAAAAAACAAAGCCCCATAAAACTCTTCAACTCGTCTTCGTCGTCCCTCTGCAACAACAACGCGGCATCGTGCTCCTATGTGGTCGATGGCGCCGCCGCCTCGGGAAATGATGAAGGCGGCGGCGGCAGCCCTGCTCGAACACAATTTCGCAGCCAACATAGTCTTTTTTAGATGGCAACATCGATGGAGAACGACAATCACCAATCGAACATCGAGTTGAGCGGGAAGGAGCGGGTTGGAGGGGCGAACATCGGGTTGGTCGTTGGATTATCATAAACCCCACCCTAACACTTCCTCCCACACACACTATAGTAGTGCTACAACACCCATGTGCTGCACGAGGATTAATTAAAATTTATATTCTCAAAAGGTTAAAAAGAAGGATGGATGATTTTATTTAAATTTATACATATTCTTTAAGATTTTTTTTTTTTTAAATGACACTCATTACATTTACTTGCAAGATTTTATCGTCTTATTTTATAAACTTTTCTAACTCATATCATATAACAAGCTTGATAGATAAAGTAAATTAATAATTAATATTTTTTATTATTTTTGGGAAGTATTGGATAATTTATGCCTATTATTTATTTATGACATGTGTATATTTATTTTATAATGTGTATGGTAACTAATTTATTACTATTGGTTATTTTTATTTATAAAGCGGACATAAAACTTTTTTATATATGCAATATGGATATTAAATTGATTATCTTCAAAAGGTGATTAATTCTCAATATAAATAATTGATAACAAATAAAAAAGTTAATAAATTTTGAAATATATTTATAATTAAATAACTTAAAAGGCCTAATAGGCATGATTAAAAATCCAAATCTACATGGACTACTCCGAAGCACTAAAATTTTACACATGAAGTGATGAAGCACCAGAAATTGAGATATAGGATTACGAAGCAACAAAGTTAACAAGTAAGCTAGGTAAACTCTGCATTTTTATATATATAAAGAAAGAGGAGGGATTATATTCTTCTAAGTCAATATATCATGAGGATCCTATATTCTCCCCTTCTAAGTCAATAAGCTAATGATATCATGAGGATTCTTATATTCTCCACATTTAGATATTTTTCTCTCATTTTTTGCAAGAAGGATTGATTTTGTATACAAAGAAATCCATTTTCTTTGTAGTTGGCTAATAAAAAAAAGGTTCAAGAATGGAACTAAAAATGCAACAAAGATTAGGGAGTCTTAGTGCACTTGAAGAATGCAATGAACACATTGCTAGAACCATAAGCCAACCCAACAGACTTCCTCTAAAATTGCTTCAGTTCCTCTTGATTCTATTGGGACTGGCCATAGTTTGTTCCTTCCTCGGTTTTTACACGACCCGGTATCTCAAGGTACCTGCCGAGATCACCATAATTCAGTCAAGAATGCAACCTTGTGCTCAAGAACCGGAAACTTTATCGAGATGGATCAAGCCTCCTTTGGATTTATCGCATCAGATGAACGATACAGAGCTCTTTTGGCGAGCTTCGTTTGTTCCGGCTGTAAAGACTTACCCTTTCAAGAGAATTCCCAAGATTGCTTTCATGTTCTTGACGAGGGGGCCTCTGCCTTTGGCGCCGTTGTGGGAGAAGTTCTTCGAGGGGTACGAGAAGCTTTACTCGATTTACGTTCACACTTCGCCTTACTATCTGCCCGGATTTTCACCTTCATCGATTTTCTACGGCCGGCAAATTCCAAGTCAGGTAATTCTGTTGAGCCCCTTTTTTTTTGCTTATTTATGTTATTGAGGATTTTTATCTTTGATTTGTTTGTCATTTGATGTCTGTGGCTTGTTTTTTTGCAGTTTATGTTAGTCCAAGTGGATTCTTTTGGCATGCTCATTTTATTATGTTAATTTCAATAGGAGTAATTTTTCTTGATCCTTCTTAGGTTGTCTTGTGTGAAAAAAAATCTTGTAATAGTCATAATGCATATTATATTGTCTAAGAATATGAAACAGACCATATGTAATTGCTAATTTCGATTTCCATTTATCATCCTCTTATTAATTTTCATTTTTTCTTTAGAATACGATTCAGATCACATGTAATCGCTAATTTCGATTTCCATTTATCATTCCCTTATTAATTTTCATTTTTCTTTTTTTTTTTTTCTTTTTTTANNNNGTTGTCGAGTGGGGAAAGATAAGCATGGGGGATGCCGAGAGGCGTCTCCTCGCGAATGCCCTTCTCGACTTTTCCAACGAGTGGTTTGTTCTCGTGTCCGAGGCTTGCATCCCAATCCGCAACTTCAGCACCGTCTACCGATACATCTCCGGTACCCCACTGAGCTTCATGGGCTCGTACGACGAGCGCAGCCCGTCGGGCCGGGGCCGCTACAACGGGAAGATGGCCCCACTCATCAACCTCACCAACTGGCGCAAAGGGCCCCAATGGTTCGAGGTCGGTCGGGAATTGGCCGTGAGGATCATCCAAGACACGGTCTACTACCCGAAATTCCAGCGGTTTTGCCGGCCCAATTGCTTCTCGGACGAGCACTACTTCCCGACCATGCTGACGATCGAGTCCCCCCACCAACTGGCAAACCGAAGCCTCACGTGGGTCGACTGGTTGGGGGATGGGCCCCACCCGGCGACATTCGAGCCGGAGGATCTCGACGAGTGGTTTTTCATGTTCATCAACGAGGACCGGGATGGCTGCCTGTACAACAACCGGTCCACGTCGATGTGTTACATGTTCGCCCGTAAGTTTGCGCCGAGGGCGTTGGATTCGTTGATGGGAAATTCAAACGAGTGGTTCGGGTTTTGAGGTCGCCCGATCAAACTTTCTTGATTTTCTTTTTCTTTTTGTTTTTTGTCTTTTCCCTTTCTTGATTTCTTTCTAATTGACCATGATAGGTCATTTGATACATGATATTACACTGATACACAAAACATGTAGTGGTCAATTGTTTGACAGTCTAGGGCCTAGGCCAGATTATACGCAAATACTTAGGTGCGTCCTGGCACACCTTGCTAGGTGTGTCAGAGCCTTTTGTGAAATACAGCTCCTTCAAAAGCGCGTGAAGTAAGGAGGTAGAGTATTTTTTTTTTAAATGGGACATGTGTCCCATTTCTATGGGGTAATGAATTTCATATATCATATTATATAAATTAAATTATCATTCATATTTGTATCAAAAAATAAAAATAAAAATACCAAGATTCATAATTTTTCATTCTCTACAAATAGAGACCACATTTGATATTTTTTGGAACACAATTAATTTATCATTTTTTACAATTAATTTATCTTATTGGAAGATTATGACGCAAATCTATAATTATATGAATATGTTACATAGTAAGATGAACATGTTATAGAGTAAGATGAACATGTCATAGAATAAGATGAAAATGTTACATTTTCACAGATGAAATTTAGATGAACATGTTCTAAAATAAGATGAACATGTTACATAACAAAATAAACATGTTATAGAATAAGATGAACATGTTACATATACAATATGGTGAACATGTTACATAATAAAATGAACATTTATAGAATAAAATGAACATGTTATAGGATAAGATGAACATGTTACATACACAATAAGGTGAACATGTTATAAAATAAGATGAATATGTTACTAAAATGATATGAACATGTTATAAAATAAGATGAATATGTATTATTTCAATCTGCAATCTGTAACATGTTCATCTTATTTGAGAATATATTCATCTTGTTATGTAACATGTTCATTATATGTCAGTATAATAAAATAATTACGAAAAAACAAAAAATTAGTTGTGCTCAAAAATTTATCAAATGTGGTCTCTATTTATAGATAATGAAAAATTATGAATTTTGATATTTTTATTTTATTTTTTTAATATAAATAATTAATGATATTTTAATTTATGTAATATGTCTTATTTTTCAATTAAAAAAGGAAAAATGAGAATATGCACTCCCATCTCTAAATTTTCTAGTTTTTTGGGGTGAGGGATCGCGTGCAAATTCTGACACACAGGACACGCGTTAGTGCGACTGCAGATTATATGGTCTTCATAGGATAAGTGTTTTGGACTTTGTGTTGAAATTCTGATTTTATGTCATTGTAAGATGGAGATTGGAATATTGAGATGTGGTTGACATGAGTCAGTCAATACAGTTTACTGGGCACAAAAGACAAAAGCTGAAAAAGGTACTATGATTAGGTAGTATTATTAATTGGAAAGATTGTAAATTGATTGGGTTTTACTAAAATAACAAGTGGGTCTACAAAGAATAGTGTATGGGGACGCCTATTTTTATGCAATATTATACTACCTCCTATTTTTTTTAAATGTCATTTTGGCTTTATCAACTATTAACCAAAATAAATGTCGTTTTGGATCTTTTATACATATTTTTTCATTATTATCCTCATTTAGTTAATAAATACACTACGTCTTTTTATATTCTCTTCATCTTTTTTCTTAAAATATCCATCTCTATCTTCTTTAATGAGGGTTATTATTGGCAAAAAAATTATTCTTAATTAGTGTGCAACTTCCCAAAACGACACTTATTATGAATAGGAGGGAATATTATTCTATGGGTCACAATTCGTATTTTTAAAAGCTCTCATTTGAGCAAATGTGTAAAATTAGGCATTTTGTAGGTGGACTTCAAGGCCTTACAAATTAAGTATCTAAGTTTTTGGACTTTCATGTTTCATGCTAACATACATGTCATCGGATGGCAGACTTATGAAATTATCTACATTTATTTAGAAATAGTGTAATGACATGTGTCTTATAATAAATACATTCTGGACATGTGTCGATACATTAAATGATAGATAGCTCTATAAGAAAACCATTCGATGGCTCCATAGAATTTATGCATACATGTTCTTCAAATTATGGCATTATTTTATTCTTACTGATATTATTTGTGTAAAAATTCAAGCCTTCCAATGATTATGCATCATTTGTCTGGTGCGATTTGTGTCAATATAAGGCCAAAGTTTTATTATTTATTTTTTAACTAGTGTTGCTACATGTGTGATACAAGCGATATAGTATAAAAAATATTATATTATTAAAATATTACTAAATTATTTAAGATGATATAAAGTCTGTAATAACATAAGACTTATTTAAGTATTTTAATTTTTATTTTCCCAATTTACTTTTGTCGGTACGAAATTTATTATTTATTAGTTTAAAATATTATATAAGTGAAAGATTTGAAATATAATGATTGTATACAAATATTTGTATGTACTTATTCAACTATTTATCATATTAATCTTATAAGTTTTTTAGTAATTTATATTTTGTATATTGCTCGATAACTGACCAACGTTGAATCCATAAAATTAATTTTTCTTTCTAATAACTCTAATTTCATGAAATACAAACTTATGATAATTACTTTTTAATTTTTAGTAACTTTTATCTCTTGTGCAACATAAATTTTTCATAGTAAATATTCTATTTTGAATTTTAAGGTTTTTGTCTATATTTATTTATTTAAATTATTTTTTTAAACATATATAATAATTTAATTAATAAACAATTTAAGCATATGATATATGATATATTTCAATGACTACCAAATTCTATAATTTTAATTATTACTTGACTATATAATTTTATTTACTCATTTTTCTTTATAAAATAGTATGTAATAAAAAAAAATTAGTTTTAACACCTTGAATAGTGTTTCTGATGTATATAGATATCTGAATGTGAAATTTATAATTCTTTTTACACGACCATCAAAAGATATTTTATTTACATATAATTTAATTTTTAGGTAGTATTATCAATACAAATGAAATATACATTAGAAATTTAACTTATTCATGGTTAAGTTGAATATATTTTATAAAATCTTATTAATATTATAAATTATTCATTAAACTAATATAATTTAAACATAATTATTTTATTATATATTTAAAAAGTTTTTCATTGATGAACATAATTCATATCTGCAATTATGAGATGATAATAAAATTAATAAACATAGTTTTTATAACTAGAATGATTAATTTAAAAATATATATATATATATATATATATATGTCAACAAAATTACTATGAAATTGGTATTTTGGTCTTATTCAAAGTATATGTAATCAATCAATCATTCTATTTAAGTCAGTTTATGCATAATGCATACCCATTATGTAAAGAAAAATAATAACTATTTTTTCATATGTAAAATCTGCTAATAAATAAAGCCTAATTATATGAAAAACATAAACGATTTTTTTCATGTCCAAAATTATGTCAATTATGGCAATATAGATTGGTACATTATAATGATATAGATATAAATTTTTACCAACCTATATAATATTTTAGTGATTGCCAAGTGTCACTTATGGTACTTGAATGGAATTTTTATTTATTCTATTTATTAAAGATATAGGGACCAAAAGAAGGACTTGCACATGGTCTTTATCGACCTTGAGAAGGCTTATGACAGAGTACCGAGAAATGTCATGTGGTGGGCCTTAGAAAAGCATAAAGTCCCATCTAAGTACATTACCTTCATCAAGGATATGTACAAGGATCCGATGACGTGTGTCCGAACATGTGGGGGCGACACCAGCGACTTCCCAATTAAAATAGGACTACACCAGGGGTCAGCATTGAGCCCTTATCTATTTGCCTTGGTGATGGATGAGGTCACAAGGGACATACAAGGTGATATCCCTTGGTGTATGCTCTTTGCTGATGATGTGGTGCTAGTTGACGAGAGTAGAGCAGGGGTAAATAGGAAGTTGGAGCTGTGGAAGGATGCATTAGAGTCGAAAGGCTTCAGACTTAGTAGGACGAAGACCGAGTACATGACGTGCGCTTTCAGCATGGCTTCACATGATGATGGTGACGTTACCCTTGACGGGCAAGTGGTGGCCAAGAAGGAGACTTTCCGGTATTTGGAATCGATGCTACAAAAGGATGGCGGCATTGATGCTGATGTTAGGCATAGAATTGCAGCCGGTTGGTTGAAATGGCGTCAGGCGTCGAGCGTTCTCTGTGATAAGAGGGTGCCACAAAGGCTAAAAGGTAAGTTCTATAGGACGGCGATTCGGCCGGCGATGCTATACGGTGCTGAATGTTGGCCTACAAAAAGGCAACATGTCCAACAACTAAGTGTAGCAGAGATGCGTATGTTGCGTTGGTTCTGCGGGCACACAAGAAGGGATAGAATTCGGAATGGGGATATTCGAGATAGGGTCGGGGTGGCTCCAATTGAGGAGAAATTGGTTCAACATCGGCTGAGGTGGTTCGGACATGTCCAACGGAGGCCTCCTGATGCACCGGTGCGTAGGGAGTTCTACAGCGGGTCGAGGATGTTAAGAGAGGTAGAGGTCGGCCTAAACTCACTTGGGAAGAGTCGGTTAAGAGAGACCTTAAAGATTGGAATATATCCAAGGATTTAGCGGTGGATAGGAGCGCTTGGAGGCTCGCTATCAACGTGCCAGAACCGTGACTTTTGCTCTTCTCTCTCTCTCTCTCTCTCTCTCTCTCTCTCTCTCTTCCGTTTATTTTATTTTATTTTATTTTATTTTATTTTTATTTTTATTTTTATTATTATTATTTTTTTCTTTCTTTCGATCTCTTCCTTTTGGTTCGAGTCTTTTTTGTGTTTCCCTTGGGTTTCATCTCTAGCCTACCCCGACTTGCTTGGGACTAAAGGCTATGTTGTTGTTGTTGTTGTATTAAAGATATATATTTTTTTCTCACAAATAAATAACTTTTAATATATATGTGTGTTTGTGTGTTTGTTTATATATTATTATCTATTTTTTTTTAAAAAAAAATCACCCAACCATAAAAACAAAACTTGTACTAATACATTTATATCTTTGTGTATATTATTAAAACAATTAATAAAGATCTTCACGAATCTTTGAGACTAAATTTTAATTAAAGCAATAATTAGTTTAAATCTTCTCAAATTCTTTAATGAACTAATCAATTTTGGTTTTATTTAATAAAGTAATGTCTAATAGTGATTGCCAAATTTGGCCGAAATATTTAGGCGGGAAAATTTGTGAGAAATATAATAAAATGGATTGATCCATTATATAGACTAGTTTTTAACCCGTGCATTTGCACGGAAAACAATATAATAGAACAAAAAATAATAAAAATATATAAACAATAGTAAAAACCATAATATAATCATTGAAAAAATGTTCTAAAAAATAATAACTAAATATTGTTAAACAATTTTTTATATACAACGTTTGTGGTTTTTCTATCAACAGAAATTTTATTACTACAAATCATATATTCAAATTAAGACATATAATGGTTTTAATTGTTTAAATAATTATTGTATTTTGTACTATAGATCATATAAGAAATTTAAAAAAAAAAATACTAAAAAAATACCAGCAAAATATTACAAAATAAATAATTGTATTTGGTTGATAAATAATGATATGTGCCAAATATTTAAGACATTTGAACAAAATGACAATTTTTGGGCCATAAAGAAATATATTGATTGAATGATAAAAAAAGTCCAAATTAGAAGTCCACTTAATTTTTTAGGGTAGCCAAAACCAAATATAAAACAGGTCAGTGATAACATGACTATAAATAGAGATAAACTCCTTGAAAGTGATGTAAGCCGTTTTTTTTGTATGATGTCAGCGCTTCTCTCGTTATTCACTCTGTCTGAAACCCTAATCCTTAACCCGATATTACGACAAACTCGGCGAGATTCAATACAAAACAACTGTTTTACCGGAGATTTTCTCCCGGTAAAGGCTTAAAAAATTAAAAAAAAAAAAGACATCCGAGAAATGTTGTTTTTGTGACCAACAGTAGTGATCGAAAAATAAAATATTCGTCCCGATTTCTTAATCTGTGTTGCTAAATCTTAACAGGTCGGTCAAAATCGGGCGATAATATTACAAATCTATGATGAGCTGAAATATTTTTTGTTAAACGTAGTTTTTATTTTTTATTATTTTCAATGATCTGTGTCGTTTTCCGAAATTCTTTGTGAATAAGCTTCAAGATATATTATATTTTATACATAATTCGAAATTATTTAGATGTTTTTCAAAATCGTTTTTCGAAGAGAACATGACATTGGTCGAACTTTTTCAAACTTTTATGTATTTTGTTCAGGGTTTGAAAAAATATGTAAGTTTCTAACAGATATGTTCAGCTCTACTAACAAATATATATGTAAGTTTATAACATATCTGTTCATATCTTTTTATAACATACATATGTAACTTTTATGTATTTTGTTCAGATTTTGAAAACTAAATAGTTCAATTCTTTGTCGTCTTTCTCATCATATCAGTAAGTGAAGCTTTGCTAACACTTGTTCAAAATCGCTTTTCGAAGTTATTCAAAGTCTTTTGCCGAAATTTTCAAATTTTTTAGTATTTTGTTCAAAATTTGGAAATATTAGGTAAGTTTATAACAAATCTGTTTAGATATATTTATCGCATATTAGGAATTTTTTGTTTAATGTTTAAAAGAATCTGTAGGAATTTTTATTTTTAAAACTTTTACGCAAAAAAATCGATTTTAATATAAAGGCATCTATGTCTTGGTAAAAGTTGAATATGTTGATAATGATAGAGAAATCAAATTATTTTTCTTTCTATATTGTATAGTGTTCAATAATGTTCCACATAATTTACTGTGTTTTTAATTTTGATTTTTTCATATAGATTTGACTTTTTTTTTGTTGATTATTAATTATGGTTGATATTTCTATATTATGCAACAATCTGCCATTACATACAATGACTTGTCAATTCTCATTCTTTGACTTTGCCAATTTTCGTTTAATATGACTTTTCTGTTGTTGAAAGTATGTTTTTAATGCATTAAAATATTGATGTTTTAGATATGTTTTGATGCTATAATCATGCAGAAATTTGTCCCGCCACTTTTTTCTTAAAGAGGAATTGTTTAATGAAAATTAATCATTTTTATATTTATAATTGTGAAAAAATATTTTTTTTCACGCGGCCAACAGTTATTTTGTTTAAATGAAAAATATGAGACAATTAATTCAAGACACTTTTTAATTTATAAAAAAAGAATGTTGATTGCGATAATCAAATATGCAGAAATCATGCATTTTATTGAATAGTAGTAATATAAAGTATTTTATTATTACTACCAAATAGAAAGTCAAAGAATGTTAATTTTGCACAATTATGATCATATGGATTTTTTTTATACATATGTTTTTTCAATGAACTTTTTAAATGATAATATTGACAATATAGACTGTGTTATAATAATAATTTATTTATTTAATTCATAATTCATCTTCTTATGCGTATAGTATAAGTTTATAAATTATATGTCATTTAAATGTATCTATACTACTAATTTATAAGGTTTTACCATTTGGGGAGCTAAATTTTTAATTTTAATTATGAAACCAATCTTTCTTATCATTTCGTAGTTATATATTTGATTGAGTATGGCTGGAAATTAAATTACAAAAAAAATAATTTCATTTTTTATATTGTAATGTAACATGATATGTATTATAATGTTTGTAATTAATACATTTATTAATATTTCTTATAACTTTAATTGCTTATTCAATTCATAATGAAATAAAAAATAATAATATATAGTTTCTGCACAACAATAATGACTGTCACGTTTATATATATAAATGAGAATAAGAAACATAAATGTGGGATTAACTAAAAGAAACTTTTTTAATTTAGTCATTAACTAATTAAGTTTAACTAAAAGAAACCTTCTTAAATGTGAGATTAATGAGTAATTAATTAAAAAAATGTAACTTCTTTTGGAGGGAAAATGAAAATGTTTTTATTAAATGTTTTATTAAATGAGGTTAGCTAACAATTATATATATATAGATATATAGATATAGATATAAATATAGATTGAAAGTTTCATTTTTAGATTATTCTCATTTTAAGACTCACTTTTATGTCTTACTTATCCATGTAAGGCTCCTACTACCTTTATTTTATGATATAATTATGTAAACACAAATATTATTTTTCTATAATTTATATTTTACATAACTATAATAAAAACATTAAATATCTTAGTAGTGAATTTTAAGAATATATCCTACTATTATTTTTATAAATATGTAATAATATTGAAACAATATTTATATACATTTTTCAATTTTTTTCTATTACTTCACATTTCAGTTTTCTTTTTCTAATACTTCACTTTTCAATTTCCTTTATTAGTACTTCACGTTTTAATTTTATATTTTTATTACATATTTAGTTTTATTTATATCATTTTATTAAATATTTCAATTATTAATGAAATAGTATTTAAATTTATATTATTTTAAATTCACCCAACATTATTTTAAAATTAATTTATTAAGATTCTCATAAACATATGAATTAATTTCCTCATTTAAATTGATTGCTAAATATTAGTTTTTAATATTATTATCTCGTGCATCGCACTAGTGCGTATACTAGTGAACAAGAAAGAAGAATATTGAATTGTAAGTGTGGTCTAATAGTGAAATATGTTTCACTCGGTCTTCACTCGGACTAATGGAACTGAATATGTTTTCTTCTACCTCGAACGGCTTCTACGACCTGCAATAACTCAACCCTAGAAAGGGGGTTTTCCGAAGAGCCTCCAATGCCGAAGTCAATACAAGGTTTAACCGAAGTCAATACAAGGTTGAAGATGATGTATAGTAATTAGTAACTGAGTATTTGGAATGTAGAGAGAGAATGTAAATTGTAATCTAACCTACCACCCCTTTATATAGGGGTGTGGTGTCTTGCTCTCCAAGTATGTCTGGAGAGTTGACCTAACTGCCCAAGCTGCCCGTCCGTACTACCTACAATGTCTCAAACTATCAGGTTTGTGAGTTGTGCAGACGACCCAATTTAGTTGCGACATGTGGCCCAATCCTCGTATGGCGTTCCCGAGTTAGATGCCTTATTGTCTTTCAGTCTTCTTTATTAGACGGTCTTACCGTAAGACTAAGTCCACGTCATTAGGTAGAACATCTTCCTCCTAAGCCCTTCTACCGTCCATGAGGTCGATCCTTCGACCAGAGCCCTTTCAGGTCGAGCTTCCACTAGCTCGACTTGTAGCTGACGTCTCCTGCTTGGAGGTCACCGTTGGCCGATCAGGCAAGTCGAACCCTGGCTACAGCTCGATCCATCTATTTATCCAGACTAATTGTTTGATTTCATGGATCCGATTGACCCAGTATGATATCCCATATGAGGGTTCTTATTCGCTCTCCGTGGGAGGGACTGCACCTCAAATTCGGACTGTGAATGAGCCGAACTGAGCTCGAGCTTATGGTGCTCGAACTCGAGTCATAATGAGCCAATAATTGAGCTCGGACTCAGCTCGTTTACCAATATTAACAAGTTGAACTCGAGCATTAACAAGTCAAATTATAAAAAAATATATAAAAATTCTAATATTTGAGCCTTAACGAGTCGAGCCCAACTTGTTAACTAATCAAGCTTTCAGTGAGCTCGAACACAAGTCTTTTATGTCAAACAAGCCAAGTCAAGTCAAACTCGAGCTTTAACGAATCAAGTTGAGTTCACGAACAACTTGTTTTGTTTAATAGCTTTACACTAACCTGTTCAATTTTATGATAAACTTGTGAGGTTTAAATTTACAAACCTCCAAAAACCTACTATTAAAGTTGGCCTAATAAATAGAAAGGTAAGCAATTAATTTAGAGAATCAGACACATTCTTTTCACAACCAAAGTGACACTAATGCACCCACTCACCCACCCCCCAAAACCCCACAATCCAGCCTTCACATTGTATGTACTACCCAAAAGCCTTCATTTTATAACCAACAGCAATTACAATTTAAGCACAACGTTTCAACTTTGTAATCTAAGACATGACTTCCAATTTTGTGCAAATCAAATCCCATATTGTCACCGCCTGGCTGGCGCCTGCTACTGATGTCACAACATTTTAACTCGAAAAGAATAAACCAAAATACATCTCACCTTACGAAGAGGGGCGGGTTCATGGGGCCTAACTGAGTTAAACTTGTTCACAACAAAAACAGACAGTTGTTAAGATAAACACCAGAAATCACAATTCTTTTTCTTTTTTCAATCGCATGCTTATATATTCCCCTAAGATGCAGTATCGTACAGATGGTTGACTACATAATTCACTTCCCTACCAAATACATCGTATACACAATAAAACAAGGAAGGCGAGCATAGGTATCACATCAGAAAACCTTGTGGAAATCTCCAGCAGTGGTCAACTTTAAAACCGATGATTTCAATTTTAAAACCATTGTAATACTGTGTATGACCTCAGACCATACATATAGCGGAGAAGAGAACTGGAAATCTAGGAGCCTTAGAACCTTCATACCTTAGTACATATTCTTGTCAGACACACCATTCATTCCCCTCGAAAATTTGGCATATTATTATTTTGGCCCGCTAGTTTTTGAAGGACCACATCTTTCCACCATAACATCATAGAGTTGTTTCCCATTCTGTAGGCCGAGAGAGAGAGAGAGAGAGAGAGCAAAGATTTTTAAGTAAACTACAAGTATAGTATCAATGCTTTGGCTTCCCAGGCAATTAAGACAAGTTATCCAGCATCATAACACAGAAAACTTACGAATATTACTGGGAAAAGGTGAATTTGTCCCTCAGGTTTCGTCTGTGTCTCCTTAAAATAAACTAAGATTGGGAAAGTAGGCCACCAGAGCTCCCAGTTTACGAATGTTGAATATCTGATAAATTATATTTAATGGAGAGAGAGAGAGAGAGCTAGTTGTTGTATAAGATGACAGGCTTGATTATTATAAAAGCTTCACTTACTTCCAGCGATTTTTCCCACCCACAAAAACATTTTCACCGGATTCCTGAAGTTGGTCTCCAACTTTTACCTCCTGTAATCAATGGGGTTTGTTGAAATTAAACACTAATATAGAACACTTAAAAATAATAATAATAATAATAATAATAATAATAATTTTTCTTCTGTTCAACAGAGATGCAACAAACCAGGGCCTCCTTGTCAAAGACAAATCGAACTCTTGTTGTCTAGAAGAAAGAAAGAAAAAAGAAAAGAATACATAAGTCAAAGCAGTGTCCACACAACTTAGCAAAATTGCTAACTTTTTAAATGGCACATTTCCAACTCCAGAAAAATCATCAACTATTCGGCTTCACATCTGTAAAATTTATCTACAAAGTGGTATTTCCAAATATGAAAACCGAGGTCACCTGAACTAACAGAAGTAGGCCAAGAAGGCCAATTGGGACTCCGGCTGCTAAATTATCCACATAAAGACAACCACCGGCTATTCCTGCATAAGTCCAGAAGCTCCATTGGAAATTTGAATGCATTATTCTTGTTATTATATTATTATTAAACTGATTATCCAAGGTAGCACCACTCACCAAAAAGTACAATGGGAATCCTGTAATCAGGGTCGGGAATGATTGTTTGTTTCTTAAGCTTCATTCCAAGCTGCAAAACATGATTATATAATAAAAATTAAAAAAAAAATATCACATTCAGGTTTTTCAGTTATTCATCTATGGGTAAATTACAAAAACTATTCCCGAAGTGTAAACTAAGCAATACTCTACAGCATTTTGAGTCCTCTATAAGCCAAAATTCAAGTTCCGTCTTCAATTGTCTGCAGTGCATTCTACTCTATATGGAATGTTCTCTTTTATTCTCCTTATTGTGAATTAATTATAATATACAAAGTGCATTAAACGTAATGTATCTTTGTCTACTGATGATTTATCCCGGCCACACGTTCATCTCCAAACAGAAGGCAAAAATCATTTTCGGTCCACTAAGTTGGCCTCTTCCTAAAAATTGTATACTAATATGGCCCTCATCAAATTTAGTACACTAATATGCCGAATTCACAAAAACAAAAGCGCCGTTTAGTATACCAGAAAAGATCATCAAAATTGCTACTCTACTAACTTGCAAAATGGATCATTGTTTTATGATTTTGTCAAGTTAATGTACTAAGTTCAATAAGTGACAAATTACTGCACCATTTATCAAAAGGGGCCAACACAATGAACCAAAAATGAAATTAAACCAAAAAAACACTAAGCGAAACATAGTACATGAAATTGGCCAATGTTTTCTTCAAAAAAATTGAATATTATTTTTACATAATAACCTTTCACCAGCATAACCCATGTCTAATTAACAAGTCTATAACTATTTTCTCTTAAAAAAAGCGTCCAATACAATGAACTCAAATAAAATCGAGAGGAATATATAGAGAGAGAGGGTGAAATATATAACCACACAAGAAATGAGGGCGCGCCTTGTCGGAGCAGCTCCATTAATCCTCGGCGTAGGCACATTTTTTCGAAGCAATTCGCCACTGAACGAGCTTGGATAAGCCCTGAGAAAAGTGCCTGCTCTTTCATAACCTGGTAATGGCAGCCAAAACATGGTTAGTGTTTCGACGGAATAAATTATCATGAGATTGTACGATTAAGCCGAAAAATCTTAGACTGAACTCGAAAGAGGTTTACATGGTGAGGAAACGAGGCGTGAAGAAGCGCATAACAGAGCACTCTCCATTTTTACAATCTCTCCCTCTCTCTCTCTCTCTGTCGATCGAAACTTTTGGGGAGGAAAGAGAAAGCGTCGACTGTGTAGAAGTGAACGAGAGGTGGATTTGTGAGTACGTGGAATTTGTTTGGCCAACTCTCAAATGATAAAAGGTTGAAAAGACAATCTTGCCCATGAATATGAATACGTTCTTTAGTGAAACGAGCCGCTGATAAAGGCTCGAGCTCGTTTGGTTAACGAGTCGAGCTTGATTCGCGGCTCACTAAGTCTTGAAAAAATATTCTTTATATATTTTTTTATAGTTCGATTTTTCAAAATTTAATTTTGGCTCGTTAAAACTCGAGCACGACCTGATTATATTGATAAACAAGCTGAGATCGAACTCGAGCAAAAGGAGCTTAAGCTTGACTCGTTTACATTCCTAAGTAGATCTAGCTATAGATAGTTATATTTTTTTTAATAAATATACATTATTATTTTTAAATGTTATACTTCTAAAAAGTAATATAACTAAGAGTATAATATTTCATATTATAACAATTTTGAAATGGATCACAAAACGTGTTCTGAATAAAGCAATAACCAAATCATCTATATATGGTCTGACAAAATTTGGTAGCATCAATCATAAACAAATATATATCAAAGTTCTCATAAACAAGTTCAAGTTAAAGCTTGTGATTTCTCAAACGGCTTACAAAAAATATCATGGGAAAGCTTTTAGAAGCTGAGCCAACAAAAAGAAGAGTTGGAAGAAAGTAGTTTTTACTCCATTCAGTAATCAATAGAAACACACAAAATTTTCTTAATACAACAAGATTTGCATTGAATAGTCTAAAAAAGGCAACAGGCTCGTTTAATCGGCAACAAACGGACTTTGTACCCGCGAATTTTTCTATTTCAAGCAAGCTGGCCTTTGATATGAGTATGATCTAAATGTGCACTCAACTCCCGTGTATATAACTCCTTTTCAAATCAAGCTTTAATGGCACTAATCATCCAAATTCATATTACGCCATTTTTTTTCACTTAATTGGCTCGTTTTGAAGAATGTGCAGATGTGTCTGATTTTTCTGCGAGATAGTGCTCAAGCATGTCCTCTTCATCATCTGCAAAATCAACGAAAGGCATTCTCAACAGAGAGAAGGGTGAGGATTGATTTAATTACCAAAAGAATAACAGAGGCAGAGGGCAAGTTAATCTTTCTAAATTACAAAATGCCTTTTCACTAAGAGCAACTTGTATTTGCAATTTTAAAGGATAATTGATCTTGGTAATTAGGCTAAATTAACGAGGTTGATTTATAGTTATACCATCAAAGTCATCATCGTCGAAATCAATATCCTCTTCGTCCTCTTCATCAGAACCCTCAGCAGTACGTGTTGCACCTTTCTGCATCAAATGAAAATACAAGAAGAATAAAACATTTGAATTATATACTTGGATCATCTCAATGAGGGCACATTTTAAAGAACAGGCACCCGGAAATTCACTAGCTAATTAAATTACCATTTAAATTGTAGTTAACATTTATTTTAAGTTTGAATATGAATAAAATAATGAAAAATTAGTAGGTTCCCGAGCCAAGCTAATATCGGACATATTTCACAAAGATTTTGTGGAAAAGCGTAAAACTCAATTATCTTTTTCATTCAATTCGATTAAAATCATAACTATTGTTTCATTCAATTTTTATTAAAGTCATTACGAGGGTCGCATATTTGATGAGCACTGTGATGATTTGGGGGTGTCAGATTGTTACGTCAGTATAAATGAAAACAATTATGAGCTGAAAGGGAAAGGAAAAATAAAAAGAATACCGAGCTAGCTCGTCCACTTTCAAACCACTGTCTGCCAGTAAGTTTTTTCTCCTTTGGCGCAGCAAGTGCTGAATCCGGCATTAACCTAAATCGATGTGTATGAAAACTATTAACCACCAAAAAAGAGAATAGAAATGCAAATATAGTTCCTCCACGTGTAAAGAAGCTAAATATCTAGCTATATATCAAACTAATTCTTTACTTAGTTAAAGAAAATCTTATTATTCAAGAAAATGGCCAAAAATTCATGGTTCTAAGCTTCTGAGACATAAAAGCACAAAACTTACTCTTTCTTTTTCATTTACTTTTCTGTTTTTTTCCCTTTCTACAGTCTTTGCAAACACTACCTATATGTGATACTTTGTCTCTCGGGCCATGTTTTAACATGAGTTTAAATTATATGACTAACAAATGATTAATTAAACTGATGAAAACTCACTTGGCTCTCTCAAGTGCTAATTCTGCTTCAAACCTCTCTCTCCACGCCAGAAATGTCTCGACAGTCACAGCTTCTCCATGTGGCACGATAATCTGAATAAGATAAGCATACGCCAGTTTTAACACATGGCATCACACTTACAAAGACGTGTAAATTGGGGGAAAAAAAAATACCTCGTCTTTTGCAGCCTCATCTTCCTCAGAATCCTCATCTCCAGCATCTTGTGCAAATCTTTCAGAAAGCCATTCTTTAGCTGTTGTTACTAATGTGTAGACCATTGCCATACCGAGATTTTCAGCCGCCTGTAAAAAGTACGAGGAATTTGTAATAGCTTGAATTATATCTTTAAAAATAGAATAAAGTAAAAAAAAATAAAAAAATCCAAGTCTCCAAGTCCGGTATCAGTAATTTATTTGAACACTTCCCGTGCATATTGAAGATCTGAATGCTTTAAATAAGTAGGGAATAAAGAGTGAAGACATTCAAAATAAGCATCATAGACCCACATGAATAAATGTCATGTTTAATAGTTAACACACACACACACACATAGTTAATGGGGTGACAGCAGGGGACTTGAAGATCTTCCCTACCTCTTTTTCAAGCTTTTCTTTCAGAACGTTAAGATCTCCAGACGGGACTCCTTTCAAACTGAGAACAAAACAATAAGGTTTTAGCACAAACATAATGTTCGGTACAGGCAAATATTGGAAGTCACTGATGAATAACCATAAGGTGGGTAACAAAAGGCTATGCAGCACAACTGCAAATGACATAGATAGGAAGCAACCTTTTGAGACTGATAAGTGGAGGTTCATCAGGATAATTTTCTGTATGCGAGAATATTAATCCCAACTGAACTGGAGAAAAATATAAAAAAGGATAAATGGAAAAGTTAAAAGAAACTATCAGTCCTGTTAGAAATTCGACATAAAGCACCAGTATACAGAGTTTTGACAATAACTGCAATCCAGGACTTAGATTACAAAACCTGGTGGGACAGTAGATTCATCTGCCTCATCGTCCTGTTTGAGAAAAAGGACAATGAAATCAACCCAACAAGAGATATCATCATTAAAAAACAAATGCACAGTCAATCATTATGCTGCAGGACATGTGAGTATACTATGTGTGTGTATTTACCTGAGGACACAGAGTTATCTGGAAGCATCTGTTTGAAGTGTTTAGGCCGCTCTCACTAGAATGAATTTCTGGTATATAATGAATCCACTAGAATCGATTAACTGATATTGTTTAGGTAAAGTTATGAGCGCATATCTAGAAGCTCCAGATAGATATCTGAAATGTTGAGCAAAAACTAACCTTTAAAATCATCCATGAGAATGGCTTCTAAAGCCTCAATTTCCATGTCCTGCTCCTGCTTATAGTCTGTTCAAAGCAATAACATAAGCTGGAAACCTAAAAAAATATAGCTTAAAAACTCTTATATCAACCAAACAGCAAACATTAAAGACAGACATTCATGTAGCTAGTTTTCTTATACTACAAAATAGGCCCCAATGTGCAAATCATAACAGCTAAATAATCTACAAAATAACATATCCAATACGACGGCCTATACAAAATTCAGTTCCAAATAGCTATGCATCACCTATATCGCATAAAACTTCAGTTAGTTTATCATTTCTCCTTATAATAATAAAAATCTTTCTTCTATCCATCCCTGCCAAAAGCTGCTCCTCTTTCTATATGACATCTAGTTCAACAACACCTTGCAAATTCCTCAAAATTACGACAATAAAAACACACCCAAAAAAAAAATAACAGTGTCTTATTGCTCTGACAAATTGGGAAGGTTTGATCCTACCAGGTGGGCAATGTCCCATGTGAGTTTTCACACCCATAAACACACAGGGTAGGGTGAAATTCAACGACAAATTGTGTCATTTTCGCCTACACCAAGGCAAATACTGGGCTACAGCAAAATAAATAAAGAAAAATCACTAAATGGAAAAAGAACAGACATTTACACTAAGCTGCTCATGCATGATTGTAGAATTATAAACTTATCCGCTCAAAATTACTCTAAACTTTGTTAATTTAACATTTTTAATACTACAAAACTCAAAATTGCGTCGTCATTGACACTATTAATAAGCAACCCATAAGAATCAGAACTTTTGCAAATTCACAGTACAATTAGCTGAACCCTAAAGATTCAATCTATAGGGTAACAGACGAAAAACGATTCAAATTTCAAAGTGGAAAAACCTGTCATGGCTGCCTGCTTATGCTATCCTTTCGATGAATGTGCTCTTTCTCCAAATACTAATTGCAGATTGGAAAACTGATTTGAAACTCCTCAAAATATCAATTTGGAATAAGGATGAAAAACCTAATGGGCAGTGTAGGCGCAACTGGTTCTGTTTAGTAATCAGCTGCGGTAAGTCGCACTGAACCTCAGCGCGATTGTGTCGAATTACCCATCGTGCAATCGCAGCCGTCCGAAAAATAAAAAATGAAAATAAATAATAAGAAAAAAATCGCAACCGTCCAAAGGAAAATATTGATGGAAAAAGAATACATGAATCCTGTGTTTTGTTGCTATGAGCTCGACCCTCTAGATAGGGTTCAGCCCGAGATAAAATTTCAATTAATCTTGGATATTATGGCAAATGAATCAGATGTGGTGTGACAAATTATCCGATTAATGCACAGAATTGATCCTCTTTTTAAATAAAAAAAACTCTCGTTTTTATATCAAAATCGAATTTGAAAATCTGAATAGGATTAAAAACATGGGATTTGTCTTCAATGACTTTAAGGTAATTTTAATTTGGTAGACTTTTTGTTCACTTTCCATTTTGATAAGATAAAATTATTTATACTAATATGGTTTTGGTATGAAGCCAATAGTTGGCTCCATAGTGGAGCCAACTTTCTATATACAACAAATAAACCTACCATATTAATAAAATTATATTAGTGTTATTTAAGTAATCAGAGAATATGGTAGGTTTATTTATAGTATATAGAAGGTTGGCTCCACTATAGAGCCAACTATTGGCTTCATAGCAAAACCGATTTGATAAACTCAATTTGGAGGAAAGCCAAGTTTATGCATTAACTTGGTTCAAGAAAGTACCCGACCACAACATCTACAAGACCGTACCAAATTATCATAAATTTTTATTATACCAAGAACGCAATTGATTTTAGCGGGAGACGAATTCTTTCCAAGATACGTCTTCAACTTCAAAACTTTAAATGAATTGAGCCATGGCAGCACCATTAACCAAAATGAATTGCTTATTGGTAAGATTTCTTTAAGGTTATTTTTTTTTAACTTTTTATAATCTTGAACTATTTAAATAATTGTAAAAATTATTATTTTTAGGCATAATTGGTTGCATCGTGATGTACCGAAATGTACAAATCACGATGTCGAAAGGTGTTGAAAAAAGATTCATTAAAGTTATCCTTGAAGACTTGAGGTTTAATATAATTTTGATTAGTTTTAAATATTATAAAGTTTCAATTCATCGTTAACTATTTAATTATTTAGGTATATATTGATAATATTTTTTTTTTCCAGCGGTCATCAAATTACATGCACTTTATGGGGGAGGTATGTTGATAAACTACTAGAGGCTTACAGGGATTATACTCCTTCTGATGTCCAAGTTGTAATCATCCAAATATGCCCGATGATGAATAAATATTGCTTCCATGCGGTTGAAAACACCTTACGAGCCTTAATGCAAGTAGTGGATCCATCGAGAAAAAATCTCTCATTTGGCGGCAAGTTTGTTATATTTGGTGGCGATTTCAGACAGATACTCCTCGTTGTCTCTAAAGGCTGTCGGGGGTGACATAGTGAATGCGACCATCAATTCATCTAATATCTAGTGGTATTTTATCGTTGTGATACTGACTCAAATGAGGTTTAGAAGCCTTGGTGAGATTGATGAGTATGATGAGTTGAGGCGCTTCTCAGAGTGGCTTGGAAGTATTTCCTACGGTACAGTCGATTGATCGAACGACGATTGTTCCGATATCGACATTCCCATCAATATTCTTCTGAAATCATAAGGAGATCATATTTCTACTATTATTGAGAGTACCTATTCGATGTTCATGAGTTCAGAAAACGAACTTAGCTATTTCAAGGACAGACCCATACTCGCTCCCAAACTTCATGTCGTTTAGACCGTTAATGAGTTTATGAGCTTATTGAACTCCTCCTAGAGAAGGACTTATTTGAGTTCGGACACCGCTTGTAAGTCATATGTTGGATATGACTCTCTTCACAATTCTCATACTCTTAAAATTCGCAATGAAATTAAGTGTTTGGAGCTTCCGAATCATAAATTGCACTTGAAGATTGGCACTCCAGTGATGTTGCTGGTTATTACCAAGCTCAAGTAAATTTTAACAGGTGTCATAGCTGGTGATAAGGTTTTTATTCATAGGCTCACAATCATACCAACCGATTTAAGGTACCGATCAAGCTTCAACGAAGACAGTTTCCGCTCATAGTTTCCTATGCTATGACACTCATAAGTGTCAAGGCCAGTTTTTGTCGCATGTTAACTTACCACTGAATAATCTTGTATTCAGTCATGGGCAATTGTATGTGGTTTTTTCCTGAGTCACCAGTCGAAGGAGTTTGAAGATAATGATTTGTGGTGATGAAGATTCTCACGATAGGAAAACCACGAATATTGTATATAAAGAAGTGTTTAATAATATTTAGATTTACCATCTTAATTTTTTTTTTCATTGATTAAGTTATGATTTTTACTTTTGTTTGTATTTTTTATTACTTTTGCCTCTATCGTATTGCTTCCCGTGCAAATACATGCGTTAA